GACGCCTCGTTTCCACCTCGCGGGCGACGGGATTCTCCGCGGAATGTTCTTGGTGAATTATACGACTTCAACAACCAATCCAAGGCGCCTCGAACCAAGAATTCGTTTCCCCGTCCCATGTATTATTGTCCGCTTTGAAATCGTACCATTTTCCGCCCATAGCGCCGCCTCCAATTCCTGTTCGGGCATGACGTTCCCCCCCTCTTGCTCCGGTCCGCTCGGTGTCTGTTGGCTCTAAAAGCGGACAGGCGAAATGTGAGAAGGTCAAACACTAGAAAGTACCGGACGGGAACCATTCAAAATGTACGGAGTCGCTCACAGGATGAAATACGAACAAACTACGACGATCTATGAGCAAACCATTGCTCTTACACCCTGACGATTTGATTTCCTATTCGGGACTTTTGCGGTTTGAACCAACGGAGCCTAGCCTAGCAAGTTGGGACATGCCCTTTTGATGCTATTCACACCCTAACTCTTATTTCAATCAATCGCATATCTCGCCGGCCATCTGCCCGTTGGCTTCCCGTCGCCGGCGCACACATCGGCTCCGGACGAGTGTGGGTCAATTGCGTTATTGAAATAAAATATAACTAATAAAGATATCCCGATCTGCATCGATGACAAACCAACAAGCGAGGGATGTAGGGTGGCCATGTGGCTCTAGGATTATTGTATGTCGGGCTCCGTACTCTGCACAACGACTCATAATTTCACAATTGGCACGGTCATCGACATGACTCCAGGCATCCCCGAAGGTTGTTGTTAATGCCTTCGAGTCAGCTCCCTCGTAACAGATCCAATGGGGATTCTTTGGTCGAAAACCGAGGATGGTCCCCGTTGGTTTGTAAGATACTGTTGCAATTCCGGTACGAACATCTGGGATCGGATGCACCGTGAAGCCGTGCGCCGCAGGCCCTCCTGAACCGATCCCCCCAAATGCACTCACTAATCGCTCTCCTCGACTTTGATCGCTATTACGTCGTAATTACCTATCCCTTCAACAAAGCCCCTCCAATGTCTGTTCCGGTCGCACTACAGTGGCCAGTCTCTTTTAATTGAGTCGTCCTTCCTTGCTTCTATCGCAGCTCCCTTACAGAGACCATGGTCTCAAAACGACGTGTTCGCTTTATTTTGCTTTACTCAGTAATTCGTAGTTTCTTCTCGTTTCTGGCGCTGTCCCTTTCCTCGTCTCCCCGCCTTCAGCTAGCCCCGGCCGAATGTCTCAGTTACCACTGGTGGTCGGACAATTGTCGTCTTGGCTGCTCTGCCATTTCCTCTTCCGTAATTGCCTTTTTGTCATTCTTCCTCCGTCACTCTTCAGCTGCTCAGCTGCTCAGCTCATTGCCACACTGCCGCCTCAGCTCCATTCTCAGGTGAGCGGCGCCCCCTTTCCCTCCCAAGGTCTCGGGCCGCCCATCACCATACCGGCAAAATGGCTCTGCCGGCAGAGAGCTGCAATACTGTACAACATACTATTACACATTGTATGGTAGCTTTGGTAGCAACGCAACATCCGTAGTACTATGTATTCTGTACACCGTATGCGCATTGGCCTGTGGTCTGGCCCTGGCCGTGTGTTTGCTTCCTGGCCTCATCACTTGTCCCCTTTTCTTCTGACCCCCATGCCCAAGCAATCGCCACTCACACATCTTCAGAACAAATATGGCTTGCGGAAGACAAAACAGAGGTTCAGGAATAGGATCAAGGGATAAGATCTAGATGATGTCAGACTGGCAAACCGATGCCAAAAAAGTACCCTCTGAACAGACAGTTTGTTCAAGCGCCGTTTGGTGCCCGCTTTGGCTGATTCATAAAGGGAAAGACGTCGTAATTGCCTACCGATTGGTACTTCCACTACCCGGCACACGATTACTGGGTAGGTTTGTCGGTGCAGCCCCCGAACAAATGTTGCAACGAGCTGAGAATCTCTTGGAGATTGTGATGAGATTGGATCCTCCAGGAAGAGCCCACTCATTCCACTGACCCAGGCCGTTTTTGCCGTTTTTGCTGTCTCTCCACTATCCCACAATGGCTCGCCTCGTTCTGCATGGCGGCCAATAACCCAACCCAACCCAGCCGTTGCTCATTGTGAATGACGTCCGCCAGGCATTGCTCCTGTCAGTCTCGACGGGGCTTGGGGATACAGTGCAACGACCACCAATAAATATGCTTCGCAAGCACAAGGCGTCAGAACTCTTGAGGACAGACTCGTAGATTGCCTGGTGCATAAAAATGGATGCAGCAAAGCAAACCCACCACCTTGCGGGCACCAAACGGATCATTTTCAAGGTTCATGGGTTATGGACCGTGGGCCGTTTGCATGCGTGTCCCCTAAGAAAACAGGTAACAATGTAAAATGAAAAGGACGAAGAAAAAAACAGAATCAATTTCACTTTAGAGGTGTGTGCCTCGAAAGAAGCAAAATGGAAGCATCAATTTACAGGGACCGTCTCGCACCTTCCGTGCGCGGTTTTGCCGTTTGCCGTTTACGTGTATCTCACTGTCCTCCGAATAAGGAAACAGCACTGTTCGTGCTTTCCTCCGTCCGAGCTTACTCCGTACACCCTTTCCTTCCCTTGAGCCCCCTCCTCCTTCGCACTTTCTCTCCCATACTCCGTAGAAAGGTTACGAGCACGCCGTACTTTCATCTGAACACGTGAACGGAGGCTTCCGTGTTCAATCTAGACTCGCTTTTACCAACCGCGCTGTGTTCAAGACATTACATCGTACTGCCAGTGTTGCTCCGCAAGGACTTCTAAAACTGTTTTTTTGCCCCAATTTCCCCTTTCTGTTCGATCTTGAAATACGGCGTTAGCGCGCAATCTTGGGACAGATTAGCACCACGTACCGGGAAGCCGGATCCACTTTATTTTGTGTGTAGGTGACTGTTTAGTGGACCCGGGTTCCACTGCCAGTGGGTTGTTCTTGCTGTTTCTTTCTTTGTTCAGAAAAGGAAGGGCAAGGCTCAGCGTATCGTATATTACAAAAGTCTCGAGAGGATTACGACGATGTGCCCGCAGTACGAAACGACGGACTCCCTACCAGTTGCCTCCGCGAGTACTTCACAGCACCACAACCCTGATGGATCATCTTCAAGACTGTTTTGTGCGGAGGAGCATGTGCCTGACCAAGACCAGAACTCGTACCTCGATCGGCGTGTCGCCCCTCGGCCAGTGTGTGCCTCGTGTAATTCGTACCTTGTGCCTCGTTTCGTACCTGCGTCGTACAACAACAGGACGGCCGACGTTTGCCTTCGAAGGGAAACAAAGCCATCAGGATCTCAAATTTCAATGTTGCATTTTGATTTGTGTTACTGGGGTCGTCTGAGAGTGGGACCCTCTTTGCGCCTCGCCCACTTCTCTCTTTCATAATTCTTCGTTGTGTTCTTCTTGCAAGGGTCCTGTTCCGCACAGACAAGGGTACCGAGGGTGGGAGATCAAATAAAATAAAATATCCATCTTTTTGTCAATAGCACTACGACATCAGAGGTATGCCATACAACGCCCGTGGGGGGGGGGGGGGGGGGGGGCAGGCACAACGTACCATTTTTCATCTCAAATGCAGAATCAGGGACCGGCCAAATTGGGGGGTCAAATTTGGCACCAAAACCGACGAAAAGGATCACAAGGACCAGCAAGGACCAGCATGGACCAGAAAGACAAACCGTTTGGCAAAAAACAATTTTTGATAAGCGGAACTGGTCAAACGGGAACTGGCCAGCGTGTGTGTTTTTCTTTGCCATGTGGTTTTTTGTGGACTACCGAGAGGCGAGCTTTTCTGTGGAGCCGGGTGGCCTCGTCATACTGCCATTTTTATTATTCGGTTATCATCACTAAAAGGTCCGGCGTGCTCTCGAGCCAATTTCGCAGGCAAAGATAGCAGTACAACGTCGATTTGATGGCGATGTCACAGACCAGGAACCCCAAGTGCACGGATCTACACATTCGCCGTAAGCCTTACATGAACAGAGAGTCGTAAGATACGGTCTACTTCGTAGTAGAGAGTGTGTTGGCTTGGCCTGAACGAGGCGGACGCTGCGTTCTTGGCACGCTTTTGTTCTTACAATTAGACTGTCGATTACGAGGATATTAGGCGGCGGCGAAGGAGAAGGACACAAGTCACAAGACTTTGAGTTTCTTTAGTTGAGGCGAGCGGCAATGGCGATGAAAATTGGAAAGAAACTTTGTCCCAACAAAAAGGATATACGGAGAGCGACACAGTTGTAGCTGGATCAAGATAGGAGACAAAAAAAGAAAAGGAGGGAGCTGGCGGTGACGTAGTTTGTTTGGTGGCTGAAGAAGAAAGAAGGGCCAACAGGAGATCCAAAGAGCAGAAGCAAATTAGGGTAGGCTGGCTTGCAGTACGGCAGAGGAAAAGGAGACCAATTGAAGGGGGCGAAGAGCGTAGAAAGTGCACGCCGGACCAGAGAGAGGCAGCCAGAAGAAACGGGGACCACTGAAGTGTTCTTGCCTCTGCACTTCGTTTCCTCCCTAGTTTCTACAAGATGCTCCATCCGGACAAGACGAGCGAATGAATGGCTCTTGAAGAAGGCAAAGAGGAATGTGGCCTTGCAGTAGTGCGCCGTTTCTCCATACTTTCCACTCCCAGGGGCAATGGCACAATAGGACAAAGCGAGGGCAGAACTGGAAAAACGGGGAAGCGGCCGCGAGGAAACAAGGGCCCAAGAGCCAACGAAGGCAATCCAGCAACACCAACATTAACACCCCACCCACCCAGAGGAGCCGATCGAAATAGAAGCCGTGATGCCATTTGTCACGACCTGAGGCGTGTGTGGCTCAAGCGATAGCCCACATAGAGATAGCTTTCACATCAGAACTGCACAAGGGACGCCGAAGACGGTCTGCCCTATTCCGGCTAGGTGAAAGAATTGTGGCCAGGGCTTCTGTGGTGTTGATGGTTGGCGCCACTTTTCGGTGGTGATGTCTTTGTTCCCAATTCTGGGCCAAGCCGGCCATGCATTGCCCTATTTGGCGCGGTCAAGTTGCGTTGTGGTGGTTGCGACGTGCTATGGTGGGTGAGAAAAGCCCCCCGGGGCCGCCGCCGCCAAACCACTGTGGGTTATTTGTCCGGTACGATACGCTACCAAAGTCGCCAAAACCGCTGTATCCTCCGAGACCTTGGAACCGCATGGGCCTAAATTCTGAAAACGTCACCGCCTCGGTCGCCGGAATGCGCGCGTCAGTGGTGCGCTGGTGGCTAAGATACTGTGTAATTACATTCAGCTCGAGGCCGCCCAGATCTGCGTGCGCTACAGTGCAATACGGGCACTTACACAGACACTTACTTCGTACACAGGCACAATCCTTCTGCCCCCAAAAAAGTCCCGCAAAGCCACAGCCAGACATGACGGTCTCTCATAAATAAAGAAATACCTGCGCACATCGCAAAAGTGCCATGTGACCTGCAGTATGTCGTAATCCCTTTTGTCCTGGGCCGTATCTTCTGCCATTTGTCTTGTTGACAACGGACGACCCGCGAATTCTTTTAATATCAAAGAAAAATACAAAATAAAACGCACAGCAGCGACCACACAACACGTCAACACAACAGTCGTTGTCACGAATTGTCTCCGTGGTCTTGGTCCAGCAGTTTGTATCCTTATCCTGACGGCCGTTTGTAACCTTTTTGTAAAGCAGGCAATTGCTCACACCCGGCAAATACTGCTATTAACTTGTCGTCAATGGGCTGCGCTGCCGTCCGCTGCTGCGCATTGTCGTCTCTGTCACATCACATAGCCAGCACACTGTCTCGCGATAACATGGGCGCCGGCTCTTTATACCTCACTCTGCACATCTCTGTCGTGTGCCTGTCAGCCGTGTGGAAACGCAGTTGTACCCGTTCTGATATATTTTTGCACGACACATTTCCTTTGTCATCTATGTCAATAATTTGTGTGCCATAAATATCTCGACCCCCAAATACCAGCCACGTCCTGACACTAATAAAATACGTACAAATGTACACAGCGCACTGATACATACACACAAGTTGCCGTTGTGTTGCTCCGCATCGCAAAACGACATTGCATTGGCACCAGTACTTCGCCCATGTACCTGTATTTCGTACTGCGGTACTTAAAAGAGCGAGTCGTAGATGTTGCCGCATTGGGTCTAGCGCATCTGTCCTCTTCCCTTTTAAACGACCCAGACTGTAGGGTTCCAGCCTGCCGGTGCATGCAAAAAATAAAAAAGTGCCAGGGGGAGGGTGTGCAGTGGGAAAGGTGTCTCTCGGTGTCCTTTTGTCGCGGTCGTTGTTTTGTCGCCCATTTTGTTCACCGCCGCCATGCAACACGACTGCTGCCAATTGCTGGGCCTGGATGCCCTCCAAGTGGTACAGAACCCAATAGCGTGCACAGCGCCTGTGGACCATGCGTGAACGGATTTGCAAAGTACGGATGACGCAGGGAAGGGGCTCTCTTGTGACGAGACCAGTGGAAATGCGCAAAATGCAATACGGGGAGTGTGATTGCGGCTGCAAGGTGCAAGGGGGTGTGCCGCTAACGAGGCAGGTAAATGGGTGGTTAAGTGTGAGTGGGCTTGGCGGGATGGATGGGTTTGGGTGCGGGTTTTGCAAAGGGAAAAGGAAAATGCAAAAAAGGGGGGGTGTCGTTTTGGCGCTTTCAATTTTCAGCAGTCATGGAATATGGAATGAACAATTGATGGTGTTGTGGTGTGGGTAGGTAGCGACTTCCCCCTCAACACTAAAAAGCAAACAGCGACAGCCTCTTTCCGTACCTGAACGTCGTTGGTGTCGTATTCTTTTTTTTTTTTTTTTTTTTTTTTTTTTTTTTTTTTTTTTGGCTGGTGTTCTCTCTTGCTGCTAGCTAGTCTGACCGTCGTTTCGCCAACCGCCCAAGTGCCTTTCGTACGTCGTGCTTGTCCTGGCCCCGTCGATGGTCAAAAGCCTTGCCTCGCAGATTGCCTTTGCGCTCCGTCTTGTTTGCCCCCCTCGGTGGTTCCTTTCTTCCTTTCTTGTTTCTCGCTCGAGCCGTCCGTGTGGTTCGTTCGTAGTGTGTACTTTGTATTGTCCTGCATCGTTTCGTCGTCGTTTTTGCCTCGTTTATTGGCGACCACATGTCGGGACAACAGCCGACTGATGATAGCCAGATACGAACAGCAAACCAACACAGCACAAGGCGTCCCCGGTTGCCGAATCGCCCCCTCCGTTTCCCTGCCTGCTCCGATTTCGTAGCTTATACCAGCCCGGGTCAATTTAAATAACACCCCGGCGATGCACACATCCTCCCTTTCTCATCTCCTTCTGCAGCTTCTATTTCTCTCCCTATCCCCTCTGCTCCCTCCGCCATTGGATCTACAGCCTCAATTCCGATCACAGAACCACAGATTCCGCGGCGTCGTCCACTACGTCTGCAGATACGACAACTGTCCGTCCATCGCCGGTCCCTCGCCAAATACGAACCCACGTCGTCTAGATCCAATCCACCCCCCTTTCCGCTTCGTACCGTCGTTTCCACTGCGCTCGCCTCTAATTAACGGCCGCCCTTTACCTCCACCGCTCTGTCTTCTTAGCTCCCCGGCCGCGGCAGAAACAGAAACGAAGCAAGTGAGGCAAAGTACGTTTTCTTCCCAAAAGACACAAAAGCTAGCAGTCCCCATATCGTGGGACCGCTCCATCTCAGTAGCCTCTTGTCTTACGCCTTTCCGTTCTTCCTTGCGTTCTGGAACAATCGGCCTACCCGCTCCCTGTTTAATCACCACCCCCTGGCAACTTCCACTCCTTCTTGTCTGTGCAAATAGGCTCGAGCTCGCTCTCTTGTCCTGTGCCTGTTCCCCTGTGCCAATTTTGGAGTACGACGTAATTACTCCGTACACGCATTTTTGGTCGGTTTCTTTTTAGGCCCTTTTCTCGTCTTTCTGTTCACTTTTTTTTTAACCATCTTCCTGGCTCCCCTGTCTGCCGGTTCGTCTCATGTGGTAGACTTTCTTCCTCGACCCTCTTCCTCGACTCTCTTCCTCCTGTTTCTTCTTTTTCCCCTTCTCTTTCTTCGTCCTTTCTCTTTCCACTTTCTCTTTTCCTCTTTTCAAACCTCGATTCCGTCTTTCTTCAACTCGCGCCTCACGTCTAACACCGCATCAGTCAGTCACTTCCGGATTCCTTTGACTTAAATCGCCCTTTGCGACTGTCCGATCGGCATCACCTCTTACTCGTCGCCTTGATTATCGATTCTCGAACCTCGCATACGCACTTGATCCGCTCTTACTTTGGCCTTGTTATCGTTTCTGTCTTTTTTTTCTTTTTTGTTCTCTCTTTCCGTCACACGCACACTCTCTGGACGCATTTCCCACGGTCCCGGCGCTCTTTGTTGCAACAAAAACGATCGACGGCCCCTCTCACCTCGCAAATAGCGATCCAGCAGCTCACCAAGTCCCGGCGTCTCACCTATTCACCTATTTCCCTTTCCTTGCCCAAGTCCGCATAGACAGCATTCCAGGGCACCTTGACACCCACTCTCCAGTCCGCCGCATTTGTAGCCGCCGGGTGTCTCATCTGAAAACAGAAACAGGATCCAAGTCAACAATCTCAACAATCGCAACAATCTCCTCCAGGTAAGATCGGCTCCACCAGCAGCCTCTGCTGCTGACTCGCTTCCCTTTTCCCTTACAGTGAGCGCAACGTCCATTCGACACGCAGGGCTCTCAGAGGCAGGAGCCAAGGTTCGGTTACTCGTACACATCTCAGACCGCCCCTTCCACTCATCACCGCATTGTCGCTTTCTCATAGTTCTTTCCCTCTTCGTTCGCTGCTCTTGCTTTCTTTTCGTGTGTCTGTGTGTTTGTGTGTCTGTGTTTCCCCTGCGCTCCTTCCTTCCCTTCTCTCCAACCACTCGGCCATTCTCTCTTGTGTTCCGCGCACCGCTGCAGCAGCACAGCAGGACAACACGGCAACAGGACTGGGCGGGTGCTTTTGTTGGTCGCGACAGAGCAAACAGTCTTTCGTCACATCCGCAGATCGGGAAGCCATAGACAGCACAGCACGTCCCTCATGCACCCGCCCGTTTGCCATCCGGAACCGTTTTGATGACGCTTTCTTGTTTTCTTGTGTAGGGGAAGGAGCAACCCACAGCAAACGGCCGCTCTTTCCTTGTCTCCCATTCACTGCATCCCTCCTTCCTCCTGCGCATGTGTGGCCCCCTACGACGCACTTTGTTCGCCTGCCACCGCCTCATGCACCCAGACAACTTCCCCTTGCTGTGTTCTCGTTTCTCCCCCTCGTCGTCCTGTCATTGTGTTTTTAATCTGGCCTCCCTTCTTCTTCCCTCGTTCTTTTTCCACCTCCCTCCCCCCAACATTCCCTTCAAGAGGCCCGCCCGCCAAAGCTTTCTTAGTCTTTGTATTGTTATGCTGCATGCTTATTTTGCAATCCCTTCAAACCTCTACGAACACCGCACCCCCAACCCCAATCGCCTGCTTTTCGCCTCAGTCCTCAGCCATTGGGCCCGACCGCCAGCTTTTGTTTCGTCTGGATTTGCTCTTTTCTCCTTCTTTTCTTCACCCGTTTCCCGACGTTGTCCAGCGTGTCCTGCTCTGTCCAACCTGTTCCGCCCCCGTTCTCCTTTACTCACCCTCGTCTCGCCTCGTTTTTTTGGCTCTGATCCCTGCCGCTCTGAGACCCTTTGCCAGACAAAGACGCCTACTCCGCAGAGACATTTGCTGACTGAACTCGCAGCTCCACCCTTCTAAACTCAGCTATCCCTCTTATTTCAACAAGCTTCCCCCAGCTTTCAGCTTGGGTCGACTTCATCTCATTTCCCGTCTTCAGCCCTTGCCTGACTTCCTTCCGCTTTTTTTTTATAAAAAATTTCCCTATTTTCATATACTTGTCGCATCACTCCTTCATCCTCGCATCATACGTACCTCGTTCCTCTTTCCCTACGACGTTTTGCCGACAGCCTCTCGCCGCTTTCCTACACCTGCAAAGTGAAGCACGCCTCGCCATCTTCTCACTTACTGGCCTAAAAAGGAAGGAGCCAAGAAGCCTGGAAGCAAACAGGAACGACTGTTTTTCTTTGGAAACAGCACATCGACGGAACAACACAACCCGCACATACGTTGCCCGCGACAAATACAACCAGGACGCACGCAGACAACTGCAACAATGAGCGAGCAAGGAGCCGGCAGTGGTGTCAACAGCACCCTGACATCCGGCCACTCCCGCGGTCAGCCCACCGACGAGACCACATCCACAGAACAGACCACTGAGGTCCACGGGTCACCAACACCCAAGCGCAGTGTTGCCAACAACTTTGCCGCCAACATCATCTCCTCGGAACAAGATCCACGTTCATCCGAAGCAGGCGCCACAACAGGTACGCGGAGTCCACCCG